CAGACTCAACTTACTCGCCTCGGCCATTGCTCATGTCTAGTGTGGACTAGACAGCAGCGCCCCTTGTCACTCACCAGTAATCACCTCCATCTCCATCTGGTCGCTGTGGCTCAGCCGCATTTCCGAGTCGACTCTGAATCTACTTTCTCTCGCCTGGGCAAATGTGCACATTTAGTTTGGACAGATGGACTATGGTGGTGACTCACCAGCAATCACCTCCATCTCCATCTGGTCGCTGTGGCTCAGCCGCACGAAGTAGGGGAACTGCCCCTTGGAGGACAGCGTGGGGCAGCAGCACCCCTCGTCACCCACAGGCCACCCACCACCTCAACTTCCACCCACCCACTGGGATGGGAAGCACTCGCACGGACTATGATGACTCACCTACAATCACCTCCATCTCCATCTGGTCGCTGTGGCTCAGCCGCACGAAGTAAGCAGGGGAACTGCCCCTTGGAGGACAGCGTGGGGCAGCAGCACCCCTCGTCACCCACAGGCCACCCACCACCTCAACTTCCACCCACCCACTGGGATGGGAAGCACTCGCACGGACTATGATGACTCACCAGCAATCACCTCCATCTCCATCTGGTCGCTGTGGCTCAGCCGCACGAAGTAGGGGAACTGCCCCTTGGACGATAGTGTGGGGTCTGTTGCTGAGTAGCTCAGCATCGGCACCTGGAAGGGAGGCAGGAGGGGAGGGGACGGGGCGGCAGGCATGAAGATGGGAAGCCTGCTTCTCAGCCGCACAAAGTAGGGGAACTGCCCCTTGGACGATAGTGTGGGGTCTGTTGCTGAGTAGCTCAGCATCGGCACCTGGAAGGGAGCGGAGAGGGGCGGAGGGCGGAGGGGGGGTAGCGGAAGAGCTGGGGGGGGGGACGAGGAACCTGCTTTTGGGCGCCTATAACACGGGAACCAGGATAGAGTAGCTTAGACGTGTCATCTGGGGGACGGGGAGATGGGAAAAAGACGCAGGTGGGGGTGGGGGGGAGGGGGGGGAGGGGGGGGGGCTGAGGAGATAGGGGAGGATGGTGCTTTTGGCTTTTGAAACTGCTCACGAACGGCGCCGCCAAACCGAGAGCACGATTTGAGAAGGGGAAGCTTAGCACAGGCACCAGGGGAGGAGACAGGATGGGTGGGTGGGCGGGTGAGTGGGTGGGTGGGTGGTGCAGAAAAGAAAGGAGAAGGCGGGCGTGGGGTGGGGAAGGGCACAACTGAAACGCAAGACATGACTGCCAGCACACTAAGAGAAAAGGTACAACAGCCCACAGGGCTAAACAAATAGCATATATCGTGTTGTACTGTATTACTGTTCCACTGTACTGGTGCAAAAGTGTACTACTGTACTATTGAGTTAGACTAATAGCGCACCTGGTAGTCGCGGCACAGGTCGATGATGCTGTGAGCTTGCGAGGAGAACTCAGGCCCCAGCAGCACCAGTGCATCGTCCAGCATCGTCTGCAATGCTGCGTGCATGAAGTGATGTGATCGGGTGTGTGTAAGACCACCAGGAAAACGAGTTTTACTTTGCAGCTGTCTCAAAAATGCTGAAGGAGAAGGGACGACGTTTTTGCAAGCGCCGGGCCTGGGACAAACAAAAAGGCTCGGGTTGTGACGAGTGATGGTGGGTTTGCGACGTGTCGTGTGAGCAAGCGTTTTTTGTGACATGCGAGAGTGAGGTACATTTGTGCACGCACGCAATTATGCGTTCATGCCGTGCAAGCGTGAGCCTGTGGCGTGCGAGCTTGTGACGTTCTAGCATGAGTTTGCAAGGTAAAAAGCACCTGCTGCCTGTGCCTGGAACCTGGTGCTTCCCGTGTCACCGAATGACAGCCTCAACGGATGGGGGAACGTCAGGGATTGGTCCGCCAATACATCCTCGTACGCCAGCTGGATGGCTGTGATTGGACAATGGAGAGTGAAGAAGCACGGCAGGTGCGATAAGATAGCCTAAGAACAATTGCCCTTGAACAAAATTGCGTGTGAGGTGTGGGTGGGTGTTTAGATTGAAGCTTAGGCTCAACTCCCGTTTCAGTATGGCAAGCGTCCCTCGTGAGAGCGTCGCACGGCAAGAGAATAAGCGCGAGGGTATCGCACAATGAGATTTTCGCACAGTGGAAGTCACATAGTGAGTGTTTCGCACGGTGGAAGTGTCCCATGGCAAGAGTCTCGCACACTGAGAATGTCGCACGGTAAGAGTTTCGCAGAGTAAGAGTTTCGCATGGTGCGAGGTATGTCGCACAGTGAGAATGTCGCACTAAGAGAGTTTCGCACCTGAGCGGATCGACAGGGCTTGCTTATCGTGCCCCGCGAGCACGCCAAGTGTCAGCGTCTGATTCGCTACATTCGCCTCTACCACGCGCGCTTCGTCCCGCGGCCTGCGCGGGAACTTCATGTGAAATGACGGACGCTCGTGACCCACCAACGAGCTCTCGCCACGTGTCCTAGCTGTCAGGAAACAGCTGGCGCAAGCAAACAGGATAAATGCTGCTAGGCGCATCACGGGAACGGACAATTGGCGACGATGTCTGCTTTTGGGCAAAACGCTTACACCCATAATTGCGTCCCCACACTCTTCCCTTTGTGAATAAAGTTATGTGGCTGGAGTTGCGTCGCGAGGACTACTACTAACTAGCTATAACTAACATCTGTCTCTGCACCAGCGGTAGAATCGGTGGTTCGTACTGTACAGTTCTCGAGAACCATTGGTGCAAGAAGGCATCCTGACCGTCGATTAATGCCAGGGTTCGCTGTTTGAGAAGTTCCCATTTGCGGTTCGATTGGCCAACCGCCATGCCAGGTCGTTCATTTCAGACGCGTCCGCTCCAACCTCGAACCAGCAATCGAACCTGCGCAGGTTTGTTTTGTTCCTGGGCAAGGACGCGGCACCTGTTTTCGTGTCGCCAGGATCGATCGTGGGAGGGGATCGATATGCCGCTTGTACAGTGTATTGGCGACATCGCCAATGACTGGTATCCTTGTCTCGCAGAACGTCGAAAATGTACACTAAACGGGTACCCAAAATGGTGGCACCTGCAGCTCGCACGATCGATGTGCCATGGTGCACACATCGATCGTGCGTTTGGGTTGGCGAGAGGGCACATCGCCCCACAGGTGACAGTCGCGATCGGTCAGCGGCGTCGCCCAAGGTCGCAGGCCAAACTTAATTAGATAGCGACCAGTTTTGCTTCGCTCTGAATGGATAACGACCAAGTTGTTGTGTATTCTGCCTCCCGCCCGAAACCTGCAATTTCGAACCTGGCAACCTGGCTCGGCGTGCCTATCGCACCGCAAATTTACAGTGTGTGCACGTCGGTGTGCCGGTCGATGTGGGAGAATCGGTGTTCGGGCTTCGATCCTCCCTCGATCCTGGCAAAGTCAAAACAAGTGTCGCGTCCTAAAGGAATGTTCTGGTTGTTCTAATCTGAATGCGGAAAACGGGGGTACAGTGCGGTGAAGGTTCGACTTTGCATGATCGATCGTAAGATCAGGTGGGAGCCGACGAATCCCTCATACACATTGCAATATTTCAATTAAAAAACCCACACCCATAAGCTTCCATATTCCATTTATGGTACACTATAAATATACAAACATCTTCAGTCGTAACTGATGTCGGGGAGGTGAAATGCCGGAAGCATCTCCCTTCCTATCCGCTTAATGGTGGCTGGAAGGCATGTCGGAAACTATAGGGAAGAATCGATAGAACAAGAAAGAGGGTTTGCACTAGCAGGCAGTTGAGTACATATAGGAAACCCTAATTGGGCTGTACTTGCTATAGAGTACCCCACTGCAGGCTAGACAAACATCACATTCTGACACACCCCCATAGTCAAAGTGGGGTATAATCAGCACAACAAGCAGGCAGAGCAATAGTTCACAATTATAAGCAAAGCTAGAGGCTATCACAGAGAGCAAGTGAGGAGGAGGAGAAACTGTGGGGGCGAGAAGATGAGAGACGACGGCTGAAGCTGCAGACACACGGGCAACAGGAGTGCGCAGCACTGTCGCTACCAGGCTAAACCCGGACTACACGGCGACAGGCGCAGCTGGCTCTCTGGACTACAGGCGCTGCGGACGACAAGACGGCTACCTCCACTCAACTTCCCCCAGCTGTCCCACACCCCTTTCACACACCCCCTGCTGTACCTCTAGCACTGCTCACACGCCACCCCCCTCGTACCACTCCGACGGCTCCAGCGCATCCACCCCCCTCAGCGGCAGCTGCAGCAGTGGGAGACGGAGGAGGAGGAGGAGCAAGGGGACGGCGCACACACACACTCGTCACCCCCATACTCGCCACCCCCACACTCGCCACCCCCAAACCCTAACACAGGGAGTACAGGGCAGGAGCGCGGGCAGCAGCTCGGGGAATGGCGCCTCCACGGGAGCGGCACGCGGGTTGACGGGGACGGGCGCTCGCATCCCCGGGGGCGACGCGCGGGTCGACGGGGGTGCCACGGCGGGCGACAAGGGGCCGCGCGCGGGTCCCCTGGGGCGCCACGACGGACGACGGGGGAAGCGCGCGGGTCCCCGAGGGCGCCGCGACGAACGACGGGGGGACCGGGCGCGGGTCGACGGGGCCGCCGCGGAGGGCGACGGGGAGCCGCGCGCGGGACCCCGGGGTGACTCGACTGTGGGAAACCGCCTTGCGCCTCGGGGCGCACGGCAGGCAGAAAACCGCCGCCGCCATGCGCCCCGAGCGCGTGGCGGGAAGAAAAAACGTCGCGCGCCACGAGGCGCGCGACAGACAAGATAGCAATGGAATCTAACGGTGGGCCCACAGGCCAGGAGCGTAACCGCTCTGATAGCATGTCAGAAACTATAGGCAAGAATCGATAGAACAGGAAAGAAGGTTTTGCACTAGCAGGCAGTTGAGTACATATAGGAAACCCTAATTGGGCTGTACTTGCTATAGAGTACCCCACTGCAGGCTAGACAAACATCACATTCTCACAAGGCAATCCCTCCATCCATTCATATCGACTTGAAGTCAATCCTCCACATCATACATTCTAAACATGACCCTTGTTTCAGAATAGCTAGGCAAGAATGATGAACTAGCAGAAGTTTGGGTACAAATATGAAACCCTAGTTGGGGTTGTACCCCATAATGGCTACCCCACTACAGCCTACAAGCATAATACAGTTTAACACACCCCCATAGGCAAAGTGGGGGAGAACAAAGGGTCACAAGACCAGTCCAGCAAAGCAAAGCAAAGCCCAGGGTGGATCACAACGTCACCACACTCCGAGCACAAGTAAAGGCCACAAGGCCAGTTCACATGCAGTGCTAGATATAGTACAAGACAAGCAACACAGTGATCAAAACCTAGCAAGCAAGCAACAAGATATATATAAAGTACAGTACAAAGAATGTCAAGCAGTGAGCAAGTGAGGAAACGTGGACACAAGGCCTAAAGAAGTACAGTGCCGCTGATGATCACTAGGCGGGAGCGCCTTGGTGAAGATATCAGCAGTGTTGGCCTTCGAGTCCACGTACACAAGCCGAAGCTGACCGCGCTGCTGAAGCTCTCGAGCAAGAAAGTAGCGAAGAGCAATGTGCTTCGTCCTGTGCTCCAGTCTGTGCTCCTGACACAAGGCAAGAGCCGCCTTGTTGTCACCGTACAGAACTGGAGGAGAACTAGGCCGCTCTCCCAAGTCAGTCAGCAGGTAGGTGAGCAAGCGTAACTCCTGTGCAGCCATGGCTGTGGCGTAGATCTCAGCCTCACAACTAGAGCCGAGAACAGAGGAAGAGCGGGTGGACCGCCACGAGACAGAACCAGAGCCAAGGCTGAAGGTGTAACCCTGTGACGACCGCTGCGTAGCCAGGTCGTCCACCCAAGAAGCGTCCGAGTGACCAGTGAGGACAACTCTGTCGTGTCCTCCAAGCACCAGCCCCATGCCTGATGTACTGCACAAGTAACGCAGCACCCTCTTAGCAGCCTCCCAGTGCTCTCGCCTGTGTCTCCCAGGTGCAACGTAACGAGCAAGGATGCTAAGAGGGTACGCTAGGTCAGGTCGCGTGCAAGTCATCAGGTACATGAGGCAGCCTACAAGCTCTGGGTACGGGCCACTCGGCTCTACGGACTCGTCCGAAGGTGGAGCTGAGAGCGAGTGGCTGGTAGCCAGAGGTGTGGCCTGTGGTGAGGAGAACTGGAAGCCGAAGCGCTGAAGGACCTGCTGCACCATGTGTGACTGAGTCAGGGTGATGGTGCGGCGAGCTCTGTCCCGGGTGATCTGCAAGCCAAGGTAGCTACGCAGTTCACCCAGGTCAGTGCAGGTGTGTCTCTTCTGCAGCTCCGACTTCACACGAGCAAGTGCCTCAGTGTCAGCAGTAGCAAAGACCAAGTCGTCGACGTACACGAGAATGTAGAACGGCGGCAGCGACGTGTCTGTGCGCAGAAACAGCGACGGGTCAGCAGTAGACGGCGCGAACCCAAGAGCCGCAAGTGTAGTCCTCAGTGTGTCGTGCCACTCACGTGGCGCCTGGCGGAGACCGTAGACTGGCCGGCGGAGACTCCACTGGGTACCAGGGGGAAACGACCCAGTAAAGCCAGGTGGGCGGCGCAGCCAGATCTCCTCGTGCAGGCTGCCCTGCAGGAACGCTGTGCTGAAGTCAAGAGAGTGAAGCTCGTAGTCACGCTGAGCAGCAACGTGCAGCAGAACCCGAAGAGTGGTCATCTTCGGGGTGGGGGAGAAGGTCTGGAAGAAGTCGACCCCCTGACGCTGACTGAAGCCTCTAGCAACGTAACGAGCCTTGAAGACAGGCGGAGAACCTGGCGGCCGCTTCACCCTGAAAATCCACATGCCATCGACGATGTTCGCCCCAGGAGGGGGAACCTCGTCGACGTAGGTGCCTGTGGACTTCCAGGATGCCATCTCTGCGTCCATGGCTGTCTGCCACTGAGAGGAGTAGGGACCCGAGATCGCCTCTGCGTAAGTGCGCGGAGTGGGGATGTCTAGTGCATCCGGGTCTCCCTCAGGGGCAAGCAACCAGGCCACGAGATGAGGTACAGCAGCCGCAAGAGAGTCAAAGTCCTCTTGCCTGTCCTCAAGGACGTCCGTGCTAAGAGCACACTCACCCCCGACGGACGGAGGACAGACAGACGCAGACTCTGACTCAGCAACAAGGCTAGCAGCGTAGTCTAGACGACAGGCAGCAGCAAAGTCAACCAACTCAGCGACCAGAGCAGACGCAGCCGAGGACTCAAAGGTAGGGTCAGTGACAACAGTAGCGAGGAGACGCGTGACTGTAGGGTGCTCAGCGCGATACCGGTCAGACTCAGGGTCCGGAACGGCAGGCAAAGAGGACGCAGGAGGAGACGGCAGAGGGACACGCCGAGGAGCAGTAGAGGGACGCAGAGTCATGTAGTGAGTGCCTGGGACAGGAGGAGGACGCTCACGACGGACACGACTACCAGTGCGAGCAGGACGAACAGGCGACACAGGACGAGACTCAGGCTCACGACGCTCTGTAAGACCTCCTGTGGGACCAGC